GACCGACGGGACTGATCCTTTCCTTTCTCTCTGTTTTATTTTTTCTCTCTTTCTCTCTTTACACCTCGAACGCGCGTTCCCGATATATGCGACATGCGACTTTCCAATATCTTTTCGCACGCGCGATTTCAGGAGCGCAACGCACTCTCTCTCTCTCTCTCTCTCTCTCTCTCTCTCTCTTTCTCTGTCGCCCGTCAAAAGGTTCGCGCATTCTGCGGACCGGCAAACTCCGCGAATGCGACGCGACGTTTCGAGAGAGGCTTCCTTCCGCGGAGAAAGCCGCCGCCGCATACGGGTAACGCAAACTAGAAATGAATCGCTGAGAGATTCTCCTCGGATACGGCACTCTCCGGCGACCGATAGTCGACGCCGGACAACAAAATGGACGCGAGACGCTGCGCTACGCGACTTGTCGAATTAACCGAGCATCCGTCAGATTATTCTTACCATTATCATGATTAGCCGATCATTATTTCGAGACACTCTTGCCGCTCTCGGTGAGTCGCGCACAGCAAATTTTACCTTTGAATCAGGCGACATTCCGGCTGGATGAAGCGGCGGCGTAACACGCGCGGGTGTAACGTTATCGATTTCATGGCGGAAACGTCTGCAAATTCGAGGGCGCAGCCACTCCTCGTTTGACGAGGACCGACCTCCTCGATAATCGCCCGGCCGATTATCAGCGCCGAAAGTGCCATGTCCGAGCGCGCGCGCGCGCGCGCGCGTCCTCAGGCGTCCTGAATCTCAGGTCGCCCGCGTCGGTCCCCGCGCCGGTTCCTCCCCCCATTTGCGTTACGGAGGAGTCGCCATGACGCGACGTGAGACCCAACGTGAGAGAGAAGGACGTGTTCTCGCCGCGCGGCACGTAGTCGGGCCGTCGTAAAAAAGCCCGTGCATCCGAACGAGAAACGTGCATCGCGCGGGACGTTTCGACGGACACAGCGGGGGGAGGGAGGCGTACCTCCGCCGCCGCCGTCGCTGGCGGAGGCGTCACAAAGTGTCCGGGTAATTTGCGACGATGTCAGCACCGCGCGATTAAAGAACGAAATTTATGCCATTAACGCGACACCCCCGCCCCGGTCCGTGCCGTGCTGAGTGCACTTTAGCAGTTGAGCCCGATGGCAGTGCGACACGGTTGAAACTCGTCGCACACGGACCTCTCACCCTCCCCCCCCCCCTCGCCCCGTAGTAAACAACCGCTGACTCGGAGGATGATAACCGTAAGCAAGCGAGTAAAGTAAGTAACGCAGTCGTGTAATCGTACTCGCGGAGAAATCGAGATCGCGGCCAGTTACGAACGCGCAGCGCAAAGGACAAGGGGGTCACGCTGGCAACCCTATCTCACTCACCCCTGCAACCCCTGCAACCCCCGCGTGCCGTCTCAGCTATCACACACGAGAGCGAGCGGAGAGACGCGCCTGGTCGATGCGTCATTATCGCGGAGCGTCGAATTACGTTCAACGTGGCGAACGCTCGAGCGAGCACGGCGGACACCGCAGCGAGAAACACCAGCGAGACTTCGGCAGCGCGACTCGCCATTTTGCGTTCGACGTCCCGACAGTTTTATTACACCGTCGAGAGTCTCGAGACCGGCCTGATATTCCGCGCGAGATGCGCCTCGTTCCTCGCGCGGCGCGAACGACGAGACAGATTGCAAGGAAAAGAGCCCGAAGAGCGAGGCTCTCTCTCTCTCTCTCTCTCTCTCTCTCTCTCTCTCTCCCCCTCTCTCTCTCTCTCTCTCTCTCTCTCTCTGTGTGTGTGTGTGTGTGTGTGTCGGAAATCGCGGCCGCTACGAACGCGACGTGTTGCGCTATCCGCCGTGCTGCGGCAACGATCCGTGCAGTTTTGCGATTATTACGGCCGCACCGTGTCTCATCGAAGACGTCGCTTGACTAACTGGCTAAATTGACCGTGAGTCATGTAGGCGCTGACGAGATGGCTCGTCAACCGAGCTCGTCAACTTTCAGACGCACTCATGTGCTTATTTGGCGGCTCGAGCAGCCCGACGAATCCCAGAGTCGCGCTTCTTCGAGACACGATCGGAGGATCATGGTCATGATCATTCGACGTTAATGATCTAGTGCGACGTTAACGTAGCGGAAAACTAGGGCATGATGTATCGATCACGTAGGCGCGAGCGAGCGAGCGAGCGAGCGAGCGAACGCCGAGTCGCGCTCGAAGGCGAGAGGGGATTCATCCACGTCGACGTCCAGGAGAAGGACGAGTTCTCTCCCTCCCTCCCTCCCTCCCCCCCCCTCTCTCTCCCCCTCTCGCCATCGATCATAAAGCATGCAAGTTTCGCGTGTCGCCCTTAAAGTATGGCGCGAAAATAAAATCGAAGCGAGCGCAGGACTGGCCGTAGCTCTATATCCTTGTAACCGAGGAATAACGAATGTCTCATGAAATATTGATACGAGTGTACGACGTGAGATATACGGGCGAAAGACGAGAGACCCCCCCCCTCCCCTCCGCGTTTCAAGAACCAAATGCATAATGAAGCTCGCGTACGGATGCGGGGGGCTGGGGGTGTGTCTTTGGAGAACGAGACGAGCGCCGGGCGAAAGAAATTCCCGCGACGGAACAGCCTTTTCACATGGACACGAGTCGCCGCGCGCGCGTTGCTCTTTGCGCGAATTACACGGCGAATCGCCGCGTCGAAACTTTTTCGACCTTTTCGGTGTGGACCGCGCAAAAAAAACACGACGGAGGTAACACAAATATGATGATGCAATTGTCGCGCCAATAAATCCAAGTGATCGTCTGCGTGACGGCGATTAACCGGCGCTTCCGATCGAGAGGGAAAATTCGAAGGCTACGCGAGTCGAGGGGCTAGAATTTATTACTACGTTGCAGGCGCTCGCGTCATCGATCCATAGACGGTGCGCGAAACATAAAAAAAAAAAAAAAAAAAAAACCACGACTCATTGGTCGCTGCTGCGGACTGGCGACTCGTCGACTAGCGCGAGTCGCCGGGGGACTGGTGAACCAAAGAAAAAAATGACTCTCAACCAACTGAAAATCCGACACAATTAGACAGTGAAAGACACACAAGGTTGGCCCGGGAGATCGTAAAAACCACGTCGCTCTTCGTGCGGCATAAAGATGGTGACCGCCGCGCGCAGGAGCGTATCTCGGTGAACATTTCTCAGACTCAGTTTTTACGATCTCCCGCTGAATTATTTGTGCGATCCTCGTCTCTCCCCGCCGTCTCTCTGTATCGCTCGCTCTCTCCCCGTCTCTTTCTCTCGCTCTCTCTCACCCCCTCCCTCCCTCTCTCTCTCTCTCTCTCTCTCTCTCTCTCTCTCTCTCTCTCTCTCTCTCTCTCTCTCTCTGTCTCATGTTCGCTACCGTGAAAGGAACTTTATGAGAGGACGGGCAAAGAGAGGAGCGAAACTACGACAAACTATCCAACGAGTCAAAGCCCAAAAGCTTACCTGACTCCTGAGTTTGGTGATGTTCTGACCACCCTTGCCGATTATCGAACCAGCTACCTGCAACAGAAAGATACAACGGGATCGTCAGTCAGACGAAGGAGAAGGCCGCGCAATCTCGCTCGGACGAAACACACACAAACGTGTCTCTCTCGCGGCTCTCCGCGGAGATCAACGAGAGAGAGAGAGAGAGAGAGAGAGAGAGAGAGAGAGAGAGAGAGAGAGAGAGAGAGCACAACCGCGCGCAGGAGCGATGCTTACAAATATTTGCCAGCTGAGCAATCTCTCCGAGATGGCGGTTCCCGCGCGCGCGCTACGGCCTCGGCGAATCTCTCTCCTCGACATTAAGCGACGCTGACGCGCGCGCGCGCGTCTCGCCGGCGACAAATACTTATGAAATGAAAGATCTGCAAGTGAAATGATCCGCCCCGAGGCGTGCGTAACGAACGTGACATGGAAATTCCCTTCTTCCGTGAGGAGTCCCGCGGCGGCAGCACAGCGGCATACGTATACTCCGCGGTGGCTTTCTCCAGGAGCCGGCTGATGCGCGCTTGCGATAAAAAAATCTTGCTCGCCGTTTCGACGCTTATTACGACAGTTATTTTCATTTGGCCGGACTTTCGGCAAAATGAACTCCCGGGCGGTCGCGTCGCGGAATGCGATCCGCCGGTGCCGTTGAATTCCTCGAGAGATCCGCGAGAGGCCGACGAAGACGACGACGTCTTCGGTCGCGGCGGGCCTCTCTTTAACGACGGACGATTTATCACGTTCCGACAGCTAATTAAATAAGCTCCGACAATTAGCACTTTCTCCTACGCGAGAGGAGGCGCGTCAGGGACGCGCTCCGATGCGCGCCAGCAACGGTGCATTATGCAGCGACGCAGGAATGCGGTCATTTTCATGCCGACCGCGACGCGCGCCCTCGCCTCGCGTCGGCGCGTTTTCCCTCGAGGAACTCGCGCGAGCGCGAGCGCGAGCGCGAGCGACAGCGACAGCAGCAACGCGGGACGCTCGCACGTCTCTGTCTTGGAAGCTCTCGAACTGGCCGATCGGCCGGCCGAGTATCCGAATTTCAGCCCTTAACCGCCGCCCACCCCAGCCAGCCGGAAAGCGAGAAGTTCTCTCTGGAGAGCTGCGGAGCCTCTCGCTAAGCTGCCAATCTTGTCCTCGTCTCTCGCAGAGACGAGCTCCTTACGCAGCTCTGCTCGTACGTGAGCAGCATGCGAGAGAACGCGCGCGTAGATGATATCGCTATACAATGCGGCGGAGCCACGAGACTTTCGAAACGAACGGACTTCCAACGAGAGAGTCTTTCGACACGCTCGACCCTCTCGAGATGACGAGGAGAGTCGCCACTTGGCAGATGTAACACACACGAAACGAGCTCGTGAGAACTCCGAGCGGCGGCAGCGGCGACGACGAAGCCGCGGGGCGTGTGCTTTTTCCGAAACTCGCGGCATGCGCGAGGATGCGAGGATCTTCCCCAAGGAGAGCGGGAGCGTTATCCCGAACGCGATCGTCCCTGACACACCGTCGACGAGAGAGCGCGCGCGCGCGCGCGCACGCGATGATATCGTCGCGAGCGATTACGTAGCGCGCGAGAGATTCGACCGCGCGCGCGCGCGCGCAATCGAGCGCGACGAGGCGAGTTCGTGCTCGACCAGCTGGATCGCAATAAGGCGTCCTCGCGGCGCCGATTAAATCGCGCCGGCACCACCTCGGCCGGCCTGCAGTGCACGTCGTTGCTGGCCATTACGAAATTAACAGGCACGATCGTGCCAGGGCCGACACGCCGCCCGTTCGTAATGATGTCACGCGCCTCGACTTGCCTCGAGTCGCACCCTCGCGCCGCGACGAGGAGGACTCGCTCGTCGAGCTCCCTCGTGCGTCTCGCTCTCATCCCGAAGGTCCCGACGAGAGTAACGTCAGCAGCGCGATCCTCGATCCTGTGTAACTGTAGCTTCGCGCGCTTTCGCGCGCGTTTGCTCCTTCCGAGCGCTCGCGTGTCCGCGGACGATGAAGAGTAGCTTATCTGCGCTCCCACGTGACGATCGAGCATTCGATTCAATTAGCGCTTATTAACGCTCGCGCTCGCCGGCGATTTACGTAAATTACACCCCGCGAAAGCTCGCCTCCCCCGCGGCGGCGGAAGTCGCGGAGCCGCCGCGCCGGGAGGAGTTGATGAAACGCGTCGATCCTTTCGGCAGGATTCGAGATAATCATTGTTTCGCCGAGGAAATTCGCGGTGAGTCACACCGCGCTCTCCAGGGAGCTCGACGACTCGCCAAGGAGCCTCCGAATTAAATGAGAAATTGGATTCACGCGATTAATTATAATCGCGAGTCGATGCGCGCTCCGCGATTAATTTGGAAATTCGGCGCTCGCGGACGTCGAGCCGAGCCGAGCCGAGCCGAGCCGAGCCGAGCCGAGCGCGCTTCCGCGATAAAATCAGCGCCGACGATTCCCTCGGTAAATACGCGATCGGACAAAGGGAAGTGCGCGCGCGGAACGCCTCCACCGCGCGGCGGCTGCCTTCGATATTCTCAATGCTACAATCAATCAGCGGCCGGCGAAAGGAGGCGCAGATAGACCTCGATCCGCGATATTACTTCTTCCCGCCGCGCCGGAGCCCCTTCGAAAGCAGCATTGCGCGCGGCCGGCGCAATCGCGATATTCGCCTCTTACGTCTTATTGTGCGCCGCGCGGCCGCAGGAAACGGCGTGGCGCAAGAAAATATCCGCCCGGCCCCGGAGAAACATCCCGAGCCAACAACGGAGCGATACAACGCGTCGGCTGGCGAGAATGGAAACTTAATGGTATACCTTTCTCGCCGCGCTCCGCTCCGCTTCGCGGCGAGATAACGGAACTTTCGCGTTAGCACCTCGCCGAAACTTGGCTCGCGCAGATTCCCGATTTCCCGCGAGGAAGATGAAGAAAGCGAGCGAGCGAGCGAGCGCGCGCGCGCCGAGAAACCGATAACGGTCCGTCGAGCGTGGCGACAATGACCGGAAGAGCCCCGGCGGCGGCTGTTCCACGACGGAACGGACGCGGCCGGAGGTGGGAGCCGTTAACCGGCTCCCCGCGAAAACACGACACGCGTGACTGGAAAATACTGTGACCCAGTGCGACGCGGCAGTGTCGCTTCCGTGGGAAGCTACGTGCGTGCACATTGTGTGTGCTGAAACACGCCCGTCGCGCGAACGACGGAGGCGTGTTGGCTCTCTCTCTCTCTCTCTCTCTCTCTCTCTCTCTCTCTCTCTCTCTCTCTCTCTCTCTCTCTCTCTCTCTCTCTCTCTCTCTCTCTGTCTCTGTCTCTCTCTCTGTCTCTGTCTCTCTCGCGCGCGCGAGCAAAGACGTCGGCCGGGGTGAGGATCGTTTCCGCGCAACGACGCCCGGCCCGGAGAAATTCATCTTCGTCGTCGGCTCAAGCTTCGTGAGCCATCTAAGCGTCTTCCTGACTGCTGAAATTCAAACTCAAAGGCCAGAGTGACTGTCGAATCCCACTTGAATTTCGCCGACTTTTCGCGCTCGCAGCCACAGCGAATGCACAGCCCCCCGCCGCAGCACTCTCCGCGCATCGTCGAGTTGCCAAGTCAGAATCTCGAGCCTCTTCTCTGTTCATGTTTATCCTCTCCATTTCTTTTGTCCTTGTCATTTTTCTCAAACCGATTCAGCCACTTTGATCAGACAACACCCGCTTTGCGGATTTAACGCACATGTGCTCTCGTTAATAAAAAATAATGATACTCGCGTTACACCGCGGCGCTCGTCGACTTTTCGATCCACGCGAGTGTCTCAAGGAGAAATGGATGTCGATGAGTCTCGCCGGAAGTCGTCGACGAGACTCGAGCGCGGATGAATCAACACGCTCGTTAGTCACCGGCATCTCCGCGAGTCGAGGATATTTCCGCGCGCGGTAACGCGCTCGATCGATCGACACTCTCGGCACTCACCTTACTCGGTATCAGAAGACGAAGTTCATCGTCACCCTGTCGATAACGCTTGTGGGGGCTCGTCGGACCCCCGGAACCTGTCATAGCGCCGGTCTCGGCTTCTCTCTTCATTATTCCTGAAACAGAAACGGACGATTCGTTCGATCAGAGAGAACACGAGAGATTCCGCCGCGCATCGTAATGCGCGCGGACAATGAAGAAGCGCGCGATTTATGCGATTTACTCGTAATCGGCTCTTATCATAATGCCGACCGACAGCGCGCGTTCCCCCCCGCCCGGAGAATCCGGCTCTCTTCGCCGCGCGACGGCCAAGTCACGCCGCCGTGACTTGGCCGTCGATGGCCGAGATGATGGGATCGTAAAGCCGCGATGTATAAACGAACATACGCTACCGATTTCGTCGGCGGTCGAGGCGCGTGGCGAGGCTCGATCCGGCGAAAAGGCCAGATAAGTGCAATAAAACGCGACGAAACACATATAGCGGGCGGGCGCAGATCGCCTCTCTCTCTCTCTCTCTCTCTCTCTCTCTCTCTCTCTCTCTCTCGTAAAATGCTCTCCTCACGCCGGCGGCGTCATTAAAGCGAACGAGGCGATTTAACGGACAATGAATTACTATGCCGGCCGCGCGTGCGCACGCAGTCTATCCGAGTCCATAACGCGTGCTAATGTATACGGATTTTATGCGTCTATGGGGTGTCCCGTTAAGACAGGCCGGTGCTCGTCGCAAGACGCTCGACTCGAGTGGAAAATTGTATCCGGCCGCGTAAATCCGGGAGCGTTTTAGCAGCCGATTAAAATTCGGAGCGCGCGTATGCGATCCTACAAGCGAGAGAGCGCAAAGTACATTTCCACCGCCCGTACCGCCGAGCAACCTTTACACATAAGATAATGGGGATGCTATATTTTATTGTAAATTATGTTATATTTTTGAAGTAAAAAATTCTTATATACTAACAAGGTTCTAAAGAAATAAAGAAATTACAGTCTAAATTTCTTGGAATGAAAAAGAAGGAATATTTTTATTCACAAGCAATGATAAAAATATTTCCTTATAAAACCCTATTAATATTGCCTTACAAAGCCCCGTTGATATTGCCTTGTAAAGACCATTTGTTATACATCTTGCAGGGCGCTCGTCTTTCTATTCTTACCAGGGTCCGATTAACGTTAGAGAAAAATAATCAGGTCTTTACCAGAGCGCTATTAATTTTTCTACTTGGCTACCTGTGTCGATACAAATTCAACGCGTTTGCGTTGCACCGACGCATTTAATTGTCGATGTATAAGGCGGCGTGCCACCCTTGGTGGAGGTGCCCTCTCGAGTGATAAAAAATCCAACGGGATTAATATTTAATTATTTCTACTCCCGTGCGAGATCTCTCTCTCTCTCTCTCTCTCTCTCGCTCTCCGGTCGCCGCAGAACGTTCTAAAAATAAAAGCCGCGATTAATTCTCCGTGAGCCGCGACCACCCAAGATACATTGTTCAATTAGAGATTTAGCGCGAACGCTTCGAGCCGGCCGGCGCGGTAACTCCTTCATTCCTCCCCGGCCGCGCGAAAAATTACATTCTTAATACGGCGGTTGTTGCTCATTAGGCGAGCGATCGTCAAACGAGAGAACGAGCGCATCGGGGGCGGTTGATGAACGGCTCGAGCCATTCGTTTCGTTAAGCTTTCCGCGTCGATTACATTCCGCCGTCGGAATTCTCGTCCACGTCAGACTGTCGACGAGCAGTTCGCGCTCGACGACATTTGCGTAACTCCGAGTCGAAAACTTGGCTGCCGCCCCAGCCAACCCTTATTTCGTCTCGGTGTACGCCACGTGTCTCGGATGAAAATGTCGCCGTCGTTAGCAAAGCTCGCGATCTGTAATTGAACGAGTGATCGATGCGCGCGCGCGCGCGCGAACGGGGAATGAAATTTCGCCAAAACCGCTGGGCATTATGTATTTATATTGACACGATTACCGTCGTTTGTCCGTTCACGACTTACAAGTCAATCTCGGGGAACGTCAGACGCCGATTTGTTTCCAATTTTCTATATTTATTTTTTATGTCAAAATATGAAGAAATCTGTTATCATTTTTAGTTTAAATTAATTTTTTCAATTTTCTAAAGTTTCGCACAAGTACACTATTTTATACATATTTAAAACAATGTTTCTTAAAAATATATATATCTGATTTGTTGAAACTTGCACGCACATGTCGCCGCCGATTATGAATCAGAAGCATTATGTAAAATTCAAAATGGCGGATCTAATATGGCCGACGTCATTGTTGGAAAAGTGTTCGGTTTTACGCTACATTCGACGTTGGGTAATCTTTCGGCTCGCACTATCCAGCAAACAAGCTCATTTTAACGTCAAAATCTGGCAAAAAATGAACAAGAAACGAGCGAAAAAAAGAATGAACAAAAAACTTGAGAAATTTCGAAAAAATTGAAGAAATTAATTTAAGCTAAAAATGATAACAGATTTCTCTATATTCTGACATAAAAAATAACCATAAAAAAAATTGGAAACAAATCGGCGTCTGACGTTCCCCGAGGTTTACTTGTTAGAACTTGTTAGAATGCTCAACGGAATGTGGCGCGATTGAATCGCGAATAATTAATTATTTAATCAAGCGTTTGATCGGAGAACAGCAGAGAGCTAAGCGGTGATTCGGCTGGCCGGTGATCGCGCGCGACAATAAATCTCGTAATACCGCGAGCGCAAGTTTCGTTCGGCAAAATCTCGCACAAAGCTCGCGACGTGGGTCGGCGAGGACGAGACGAGTCGATCGTGCCGAAAACTTGCTGCTGCGCGCGCATGGAATCGCGGAAGATCGCGAGGCCATCACTATCTCGGAGGAAAGGAAACGAGAACGTAACGCGGCGGCGGCCGCCGACGATCATTTGTCGCGACTATATCGCGATAGCACGCGTTTAGCATAGAAATCGCGGCTACACGTGCTGCATACGAAACCGCAGCGGGCAATGGGAGCACCGTAATATAAGGTTACAGGCAGTTACAAGAGAATGCAGAAAAAAAACAGAAAGAAAAAAGGCGCGATGTATTACCGCGGGAGCGACTGCGACACGTTCCTACTCTCGATATCATCATCGTGCAGCCGGCGCGGTCTTGTTGTCGCGTCCGGCTGACGTGATCCGGCGGAAAACTCTGCAAGAAATTCGCCATCAGACTCATTTGGCGAGACATGTCGCGCGTGTCAAGCGACATTCGCATCGAGTGCTCTCTCTCTCTCTCTCTCCCTTTCCCTGCGCGATCTCGAAATCTCCACGACAGTGAGACTCCGCTGGAGAAGCGCGAGTACGAAGCGGGGGTTCTCCTTCATCGAATTCTCCATCATCGAGAGAGTTTGATGAAGTTTCCGTTTTTCCCAAGAAATTCCGAAAGAGCGACTGAACGGCAGTCGGCCTGTCGTCGAGCGGACACACGCCGGATAACACGCAGTTTCATGAAAATGCACCGTCGGCCTCGTCGTTTTTCTTGCTCGCTTCCGCGGCGCTTACGTGGCCAGGCGCGGTTTTCCAAGTCGTGACGTGGCGGTAAAGCGCACTCTTTGTACCCGACGAGAGAGGAGGTATGCAAAGCACACACATGCAAACGAAAGGCGCGCGCCGACTGAAGAACTGGGTCGTGCCCGTCGTACTCAAGACCGAAGCCGATTGCGTTCCACGCGATCGTGTGACGACAGAGTCGAGAGCTAAATTGCTTTTAATCGTCCGCCAGGACGGACCGTCGCGATATGAATAATGCGCGGCGCGGCGCGCGATCGATCGATCGATCGATCGACGCGAGTATACTTTGCTGGACAACTCGCGGGAACCGATCGCTCAGTCGCTCAAGCGACCGACGAGTACTCGCGCGCTTCGAGTATCCCGAGGACGCTGCGGAGGAAAGCGCGATCCATCGATCTCTCTCTCTCTCTCTCTCCCTCTCTCTCCCTCCCCTCTCTCTCTCTCTCGGTAGGACATCTCTTTACACGCGGAAATTTATAATGACTCCTTCTTGCCGTCGACGAAATTCTTTGAGCAGCCGCCACCATCCATCTCCTCACTCGATTGCTCAATTCGACTCGATCTTGCAGCGCGCGCAGCAGAAAAGAAAAAGAGAAGCAGCGACTCTCTCTTTTTACCGCCGCTTCCGGCCGTTTAGCGTGCGCAATTTCCGCGTGCGCATGCCTGTTCGCGAAAATAACGAGCGTACACACACCGCGAGTTATTATTCGCGGCCAGCCAGCCAGCCAGCCAGCCAGCCAGCCAGTTCGATCGTTCAATTCGCGTGGAGGAATCGGAGCAATTATTTTCTTGCGGCGCGCGCGCGCGCGTGCGCGCGGCGGAATCATAATGCACCGCGGGCGGAAGATTGAGGGTACGGCGCGGGCGGCGGGTTAATAACAATGTCGGCGGGACGCAAATGGAAATTAAAGCGACGAGCGTGGCGGCACATCTAGATACGTGTGCATACGCACCGGCGCGGCGGCACGCGAGGAGAAAAAGCAGGACGACAACGCGGCAAAACGCGGGAATCGATGGCGGTCGCCATCGTCGTGGATACCGACACGCGACGTTAATAATTTAGCCGCAACGATTCCGCGGCGAAAGGGCGCTTTCGATTCGCGCGCGCGCGCGCGAGCGCCCGCCGCCGCGACTCCCTTATATTCTTCTTCGCCGCGGCGCGCGCCGCGCGGGGCGTGCCGGGAATAACCGCGAGCGGAATGCACAAAAATATCGCCGGCGAACGACGTGAATTAGGAATCGTCGGTGGAAGCGGAATTGCTGGCAAACCGTCACGTAACCACGTCTCTCCGAAATTATCAGCGCCAAAGTATGAGAGATATCTCCTCTCGCTCTCGCCATTTTCATCGCGACACCGTTTTATCGTATCGTCGTCGTCGTCGTCGTCGTCGTCGTCCGATCTTTCGATCTGTCACGTTCTCTTGAATTTGCAATTTACCGCACTCGTCGGTCTCGAAGCCGCTACTCGCCGTGTACTACTCGCGATAATCACCGTCATTGGGAGCTCATAATCATTTTCTCCGGCTGATGATACTCGATCCCGAACAATTGACTCTGGAGCCGAGAGAGAGAGAAAGAGAGAGAGAGAGCAC